CCTGACCTTGTGATCCACCCACCTCGGCCTCCCAAAGTCCTTAGATTACAGGCATGAGCCACTGCACCCAACCTAGGATTTTATTTTCTTAATCTTCTTATATGCTATATCTAACTTTCTATAAAACACATATGAATAATTTAAATTTTGGAATAATTTTAAATTTTTACTTATTTATTTATTTATTGAGATGGAGTCTCACTCTGTCACCCAGGCTGGAGTGCAATGGTGCTATCTCGGCTCACTGTAACCTCTGCCTCCCAAGTTCAAGCAATTCTCCTACCTCAGCCTCCCAAGTAGCTGGGATTACAGGCATGCGCCACCATGTCCGGCTAATTTTTTCTATTTTCAATAGACATAGGGTTTCACCATGTTGGCTGGGCTGATCTTGAACTTCTGGCCTCAAGTGATCTGCTGACCCCGACCTCTCTTTTTCTTTTCTTTTTTTCTTTTTTTATAATTTTTTTTTTTTAAGCTGGGGTTTCACCGTGTTGGTCAGGCTGGTCTTGAACTCCTGACCTCAGATAATCCGCCCGCCTTGGCCTCCAAAGTGCTTGGATTACAGGCGTGAGCCACCACGCCCGGCCCCCGACCTCTCCAAGTACTGGGAATACAAGTGTGAGCCACTGCGCCTGGCCAATTTTAATTTTTTAAATAAATAAATCGCTCTGGCTGCTCTAGATGGATTACAGGGGCAATCAAGAGTGGAAGCAGGTTGTCTAGTTGATCAGCAATATGCTTTTCAGCATGTTTCCCAAGTCTAGGTGGAAGCCAGATTCCTTTTTTTTTTGAGATGTAGTCTCAATGGTGCTATCTCAGCTCACTGGACTGCAACCTCCGCCTCCCAGGTTCAAGTGATTCTCCTGCCTCAGCTTCCTGAGTAGCCAGGATTACAGGTGCACACCATCACACCCAGCTAATTTTTGCATTTTTAGTAGAGATGGCATTTCACCATGTTGGCCAGGCTGGTCTCAAATTCCTGATCTCAGGTGATCATCCTGCCTCAGCCTCCCAAAGTACTGGGATTACAGGTGTGAGCCACTGCACCCAGCTGGAAGCCAGATTCTTGCTGGAAATGAAGCTCTTCCTTCATGGGAATCCCACATGCATGACCAAAGAGATCTTATGGCTGGGAGCATAAACTGAGGATGTTAAAGGGCTTGATATTATCCGGGGTATTTTGTTGCCCAGAAGAGCTGGGTAGTGATTTGCATAGGTCCGAGGAGCTGCTCAGTAAAGAAGTGTTCGGAAGAGTGCTATCCAGAAGCCTAAGGCAAGGCACCAGGCTTCTTTGAAGTTATCCAAAGGCCCTGCCAGGGAAATCACAAACACACACACACACCCAACATCAGTTACCAACAAGACAAAAAAAAAATGTGCTTTTAAATTTGATCTTAAAACAATTCACACCTGTTAAATATTATGCAGAATAAGTAGAGTTCTAGTAATAAAAAGCAAACTTTGCAGCTTGAGGAATTAAAGTGTCTCAGGAAAACAAAGGGAATGAAATCCCTTAGGAAAGCCTAGTGAAGAAAAATAATGTCAGCTATTACCCTAACTCTGGGAGGTAAGGGAGAGACAGCCACATGGCAGAGAGGAGCAGCCAGCAGCCCAACATAGGGAGAGGTGAATAAAAGGACTCCAACCCCCTGAGTAAGGGATTACATTTTCCGATTGTTGTGAAAAGAATTCCCCTTTCCTAGATAATAAGGCCAATTTCTAAGTGAAGCTCAAAACAGCATTGTATGGGAGGCTCAGACTAAGAAGAGCAAAGTAAATCCCTGGCAAGGGATTAAGACCTTCCTCTCCCCCCACCACCCTACCCTACTGCCTGCTCTCCTGAAGGCCCAGGAGCCAATCCTGTAACGAGAATTATACGAGGGGCAGGGGAAGTGGATGATAATGCTGAAAGACAGAGCATTGAATATTCACTCATCCGAAAATCCCCAAAGACATTCCTTTCTAAGATGATCAGAGTAATTCATATTAGCCAACTGATTTAATGTGCCACACTGACAAACCCTTTCCTAAGAATTTATAGCCTCAACTAAAAACAGTTGTTTGGACAAACTGTCAAACTGCTGTAGGGCCCACTGGACATCTGTCTTTGTGAGGTCAGTGAGGAGAATGACTATTACTTTGAAAAGGCTAAGGGTTTGTTGTTTCCTGCTGCTCCCAGGAGATCTACAGAGTACGTGAAGCCTCAGTGGTTACCATTAGGCAGAACCCAATAGAAGGCCTCGAGAGAGCCGCGTTTAAATTCAGCACTTGCGGGAGACCGGCCAATCACTTGAGGTCAGAGGTTCCAGACCAGCCTGGCCAACATGGCAAAATATCGTCTCTACTAAAAATACAAAAAATTAGCTGAGTATCGTGGTGGGCACCTGTAATCCTAGCCACTTGGGAGGCTGAGGCAAGAGAATCACTTGAATCCTGGAGGTTGAGGTTGCAGTGAGCCAAGATTACACCACGGTAGTCCAGCCTGGGCAACAGAGTGAGACTCCATCTCCAAATAATTAATTAATTAATTAACTAACTAATTCAGTATTTGCTATTCCATTCCCACCTTCTTGGCCCTTGCCTGGATTTCTGTACAGCTCTTCTGGTTCTCTGCTTGGAATTCAGTCCCAGGTTCCTGGCCTCACCAATGTACCCAGCCTCAGCACCAGAATAATCCTCCTCAACACAGCTTTCATTGGGTCCACTTTGATAAGTTCAGGCAGCAGCTAACGCAGAATGGGATGTGGTGGATCAAGCCGTGAGAGCAGAGCCAAAGCTGGGGTGAAGAGAGACAGCTGACCAAGAGACAGACTACCCGGCAGGACAGGAGAGCAAGACTAGGACACTGAGCCCCGCATCACCTGGGAACATGGCGGGCACCGTAAGAAGTCGGGAGGCATGAAAATGTGAGGAATTGGCAGCAAGAATGGTGGAAAAGAGCACAGGATTCACAGGTGTTAATAGATCTAGGCTCACATCCTGGCTCTGTCCCTTCGGAACCTCAGTTTTCTCATGGGTAAAACGACGTATGCATAGCTGCTCCGGTGCACACTGGGATGTGCTTCCCAGACAGCTCCCGGGAGTGAAGGACTTAATCTCCCTCTGCCGGGAGAGCTGTTAGTCCTCTCTGAGGATTGGCTGAAGAACACTGCCCCACCCAAGGTCACGCCTTCTTCCTGGGCTCCCACAGCCAATGACTAAATAATACGGGAGGAACAAATGCCCGACCCCACCCCCAACATGTGGCAACTGCAGGAATTGCCTGCCCCTGAATCCCCCTGGGGTGAAGGCGGGTTGGTGGGGCTGCGTCTGTCTGCTCTTCAGTTGTGCTTCCTAACGCTCCCTTCCATTGTAGAACGCAGGCGCACGGCTTACTCTCTGTCTGAGTCCGCTTCACGGGCAGCCCAGCTTGCCACAGCCATCTCATCCAATCATGAGGTTCCGTGAACTTTTATTTTTTTATTTTTTATTTATTTATTTTTTGAGACAAGGTCTCACCCTGTTACACAGGCTGGAGTGCAGTGGCGCAACCTCGGCTCACTGCAACCTCCATCTTCTGGGTTCAAGTGATTATCATGCCTCAGCCTCCAGAGTAGCTGGGATTACAGGCATGTGCCACCACGCCCGGCTAATTTTTGTATTTTTGGTAGAGATGGTTTCGCCATGTTGGTCAGGCTGGTCTCGAACTCCTGACCTCAGGTGATCCGCCTGCTGCGGCCTCCCAAATCACGCTGGGATTACAGGAGTGAATCACCGAGCCCAGCCCGTGAACTATTAATAGTAAATGTAAAGCATCCGGCCACAACACGTAGTGTAGGTTGAGTATCCCTAACCTGAAAATCTGAAATCCGAAATGCTCCAAAATGCAAAATTTTTGAGAGACACCATACCACAAGTGGAAAATTCCACACGGCAGGCCACAGTGAAAATGCAGGTGTGCAACACAGTTTATTTAACCTACCCGAGGAACAAAGACCCTCCCAGTGCCCTTCAGCTGTACTAGGTGCAGGCTGGACGCAACAAGGGCAGGTTCCCCTCGACGATGTCCCACATGGATCCAAGATCTATTGTGCATTAACTTACTGCATCTTTTTGCTTCCTCTCTGCTCTATGGTATAAAAATATTGAAAGATAACCAAATTATTGAAAGAGGGAAAATTCTTTTCTACACAGTCCAATATAAAAATACTAATGGAGTAACAGAATTACAAAATCATTTTTCGACAACTGATGAAATAATGAATATGAGCACTGAACTTTAATAGCTGCTGAAGCCATTAGATGAAAAGCTGATGAGGAACTTTATAAGGAAGAGATCACAGCAACAATTCCTGAACTCATTTACCCTTTTTTATTTACTTATTTATTTTTTATTTATTTTTTTATTTTGGAGACACTGTCTCAATCTGTTACGGAAGCTACAGTGAAGTGGCATGATCATGGCTCACTGCAGGTCCAAACTCCAGGGCTAAAGCAATCAGAGTCACATCAAACCTAACAAATGTTGACGAATAAATAAAATGTTTCTTTCATATTTAATAATACGTAGTCCTGTCCTAGAACTACAACCCTGTTTTTGATTGACTGACATTTAAAACCCGTAACTTTTATTTCTGTATTCGAAAAAAGAGAACTTTGAGACAGTCCCTAAGGAGGCAATTCGTTTTCACACGTTCTTAAAACATATTCCACACTCCCTGTCCCCTCTGCCCTCCTCCCTCCTCAGATCTCGTTTCTTCGGCCACAAATCTCGCGACAAGTCAAGTTCTCATGAGTTTTCCCAGAAGGCACCGTTCTTCCTCTTTCCCTAAGCGACTTGAGGTGAGTGTTTCTCCTGTGTTGCTCCAAGGGCTCAATCCTCCTGCTATCGTCGCCATCCTGGCCTCGGGGGCGGCAGCCTCCAGGACCCGGTGAGGAGAACTCCCAAGGCTACTAAATCCTCGCTGGTGGCGATGGTTTCTTACGCGGGGGGACGCGGCTGAGCGCCGACTTTGGAAGCCGGTGCCGATCGGCCTCTGCTGTTCGCAGAGAAACGTGATGGGCGGGAGTGAGGACGACCGGGCCCCTCCACTGGTAGGGGCGGGCGGGCGCGGGCCGCCGGTGGTCCATGCCGACTCCGGACGTCCAGTGTCTAGCGGTGAGTGGTGGCCGAATACGCGACTCATTTGTGGCCGCAACGAGGAAAAGTTTTGGGGAAAATAAAGCCGGGTAGAGCCTTTACACGTTTCTACCAGAGTTGCCTGCTGCAGGGCGCTTAACGTGGGCGATAGCCCGAAGGTGTTGGGAGAGACCATGTTACCCGCGCAGCTCTGAGAGTAAAGGGTTTTCTGTAGAGCGGGATTGAGGAGGTGGGAGGGTTGTAGTTGAGTTGTGCCATACGGCTGCGTCGAGTCATTTTACATTCGGAAGATAAGCAACTTGAATTGAAACAGGCTGCCTTTTCTTCCAAAGGGTAGACTGGATTGGTGAGGTCCGTGTGACTGCTTTCATGGAAACAGTGCTGTGATTACTGGCAGATAAAAGGGAAAGAAAGCACTGGATGGAGGAAAGGATGGCTGCGATGATGGCATTTCTTAGGACACCTTTGGATTAATAATGAAAACAACTACTCTCTGAGCAGCTGTTCGAATAATACTTAACACTGAATGAGTTATTGTTAAGTACATATTGACAGAATTACCCTGTATTTGTCTCCAGGTAATCTGTGAAAATGGTTCGCTATTCACTTGATCCGGAGAACCCCACAAAGTGTAAGTGAACAGGAGGTAGATACCTATTTCCTACATGGGGGTTGGCGTAAGATACCAAAAATTAACCAAAGTGATTTTTATTTTCTAGCATGCAAATCAAGAGGTTCCAATCTTCGTGTTCACTTTAAGGTATGCGATTCATAGTTGTGATCCAAGAGTTCCTTGTGTTCCACTCAAAAAGGTAGCTGCAATGATGACTTTCTTAGGACACCTTTGGATTTACCATGAAAATTAATAAATTCTGAGCAGCCACCTTATATTTAGGCATTGATCGTCAGGTATAATGATGTAGAGTTTGTGGAATTAAGTAGAACTACCAGAAAATCATCTGAAAACCTAGTGTGCAGATCAAGATGGGACACATTAATTCTAATAACATGATGTTGGATGTAAACATTTTACAGTGAGTAAATGGAGTTTGGGGGCTAATTTTTCCCTAGCTTCAACTAAGTCTTCCTAGCTTTTACTCACAAGTTTTTTTAATTGCCTTGTCACCAAAAAATATAAATAACTTGACATTTTGAAAAGCTAAAAATTTAATGTTTACTTTAAAAATTAAGCAATGCTTTGACTAGTTAACCAACACTTTATTCTTCATACTTAGAACACACGTGAAACTGCCCAGGCCATCAAGGGTATGCATATACGAAAAGCCACGAAGTATCTGAAAGATGTCACTTTACAGAAACAGTGCGTACCATTCCGACGTTACAATGGTGGAGTTGGCAGGTGTGCCCAGGTGAGAATTCTTAGTTGCCATTTGAAAAAGACAAATTTTATGGAACAGTGATGGGATAGGATAAGAATGGCTAAGATCTATGCTGATCAACCTATTTCTGATTGCTGTAATGACAGGATAGCTTGGATTGATGGTGAAATGAACCATATCCTAAGAAACCTTGATGCTGGGTAAAATAAATTTATCTTGGCTGTAATGTTAATTTAAATCAAGGGAAATGACTGATCTTCTCCATTTTCTTTCAGGCCAAGCAGTGGGGCTGGACACAAGGCCGGTGGCCCAAAAAGAGTGCTGAATTTTTGCTGCACATGCTTAAAAATGCGGAGAGTAATGCTGAACTTAAGGTACCCAAACCATTGACATCCTGTGCAACTTGTGTGGTGGTTTTAATTAATGTTGGCTGTTCAGATTTATGTCCTTGTCTGGTTCTCAGTAATTAACTCATTTAAAATTTTAAAAGTTACTTCCTTTTGTTGTTGTTGTTGTTGTTTTGTTTGTTCTTTTGGGTCCCTTTATGACAAAATTCTGTGAAGATCCAGAAGCATGGTCTGCGGTCTTTCTAAGCCTAACAGTATTTCTATTTTTCTGCTGTCTTTTACACTGGAGGTACTTTACCAAGGGCTTTTAACCCTTGTGCCATACACCTTTTTGGTAGTATGGTTAATTATCAAAATGATAGCTTGGCGGCAGTGGTTAGTATGGTTTGTGGCCTACCTTCATAATGAAGAGCCATGTTACATTTCAGAAAGAAATTGTTTAAACTTTGAAAAAGCTTAAAAGTGACAAACTTATGTTGACAAAACACAAGTTTCTCCATTTTGTATATTACCCATTAGCCTTTTGCATTTGAAGGTCTGAGTGAGAACTGGAATTGGTTTAGGTCTGTATGCCTCTAAACCTTCTAAGCCATGCAGAGAAATTCTGTTTATCATCAAGACTTTGAATGAGACGGAGTTTCGCTTTTGTTGCCCAGGCTGGAGTGCAATGGCGCAATCTCGACTCGGCGCAATCTCGGCTCACCGCAACCTCCGCCTCCTGGGTTCAGGCAATTCTCCTGCCTCAGCCTCCTGAGTAGCTGGGACTACAGACACGCGCCACCATGCCCAGCTAATTTTTTGTAGTTTTAGTAGAGACAGGGTTTCACCATGTTGACCAGGATGGTCTCGATCTCTTGACCTCGTGATCCACCCGCCTCAGCCTCCCAAAGTGCTGGGATTACAGGCTTGAGCCACCGTGCCCGGCCCTCCATGCTTCTTAATGATCTTTGGGAAGGCCACTCACAGACAATGTATTTGTATTTAGCACACTGAGTTTGGTGGCAGTTTAGACACTTAAAGGTGAAGACAGACAACTGCTTAAACATGCTGTTTGAAGAATCAAAGGATTGCCTTTCAAAAATGATTTCATTGAGGCAGGACATTTGAGCAAGATTGGGAAGTTTTTCATTTTTGAGATAGAGTCTTGCTCTGTTGCCAGGCTGTAGTGCAGCTGTGTGATCTTGGCCCCCTGCAGCCTCTACCTCCAGGGTTCAAGTGATTCCCCTGCCTCAGCTTCCTGAGTAGCTGGGACTACAGGTGCATGCCACCACCCCCAGCTAATTTTTGTATTTTTTTTTTGTAGAGATGGGGTTTCACAATGTTGGCCAGGATGGTTTCCCATCTCTTGACCTCCTGATCTGCCCACCTCGGCCTTCCAAAGTGCTGGGATTACAGGCATGAGCCACCGCGCCTGACTAGAATTCATACTTACCAATGATAGTTTGTGGTGTTTTGCTAATTAGGGATGTTCCTGATTTCATTCTCTTCTCTCTAGGGTTTAGATGTAGATTCTCTGGTCATTGAGCATATCCAAGTGAACAAAGCACCCAAGATGCGCCGCCGGACCTACAGAGCTCACGGTCGAATTAACCCATACATGAGTTCTCCCTGCCACATTGAGATGATCCTTACTGAAAAGGAACAGATTGTTCCTAAACCAGAAGAGGAGGTTGCCCAGAAGAAGAAGGTAAATTAGTAGTTGCTCAGTTTTGTTAGTGGTAGTAGAAATATTTGTGGTTGCTGTGATGGCTATCTTAGGACACCTTTGGAATAACCATGAGAGAAAACTATTCTGAGCAACCCTTTCTCCTATCTTATTTTGGCTTTTGTGAGTTTGTTTGTTGACTAATAATAAGTGGTAGCTTTATATTCAATATATCAGGCCCATATGATTATCTGCTTATGGCTCCACTTAGATGTACATAGCCATTTCAAAACGGGTCCTCTCCCCAAATCTCAGAACCTTGTGATTTTGTACACTTCTCATTACACCTAATGAACTTAGGTTCTATTGATTTTATTTTTTAAGTATTTTGCTCCTTAGTCTTTAACAACTAGGTTTCCTGCCTCCAGAATAAGCTGTAGTCCTCCAAGATGTACTATGGGTTTCTCCAAGAAACTTAATCTATTTTCCTTTCCCCAGATATCCCAGAAGAAACTGAAGAAACAAAAACTTATGGCACGGGAGTAAATTCAGCCTTAAAATAAATGCAACAAAAAGGAAAAGAATGTTGGTTGTCTTTATTAAGTGTCCTTACAAGATGGATCAAATGGGGATTTTTAGGATTTGAATTAGAAACACAGATTATTTACCCTGTACCATTAAACATTTTCATGGCTGGGCACAAGTGTCTCATTTCTATAATCCCAGCATATTGAGAGGTGAAGGCTGGCTGCTTGAGCCCGGGAGTTCAAGACCTGGGCAATAGGACAAGCCTGTCTACAAAAAAAAAAAAATTAACTAAAATTCACTGAGTGTGATGTCACTTCCATGTAGTCTAAGCTAATTGGGGGACTGAGGTGGGAGGTTGCAGTGAGCCCTACTGCACTCTTAACCTGGGCAAGACAGAATAAAACCCTGTCTCAAAACAGAATAATCCAGTGTGTGAGTATACCATTTGATCATCCCCAACTGGAAATGGCTCCATTGAGCATTGCCTTTGTCATGACAGCAGTCAGGCTCAGGTTTTGAAGCTTTTTTGAGTAACGATGCTCAACCTGTATCATTTCATGAATTGATAAACAGGTTTGGTTTTTGCTGTTAGAAACGATGCTACTTTAAACCTTTGCAGATTTTTTGTTTTTTCATTTCTCGGGTATGTACTGGACTGGAACTGCTAGATCATACGGTAACCTGAATAAACATCTGAGGAACTTTGAAATATTTCAAAAAGGCTGCACATTACATTTCAACAGCAGGGTGTGAGGGTCCCAGTTGCCATGCATCGCCAACATTTACTGACATCCTAGGTGGTGTCCACTGTTTAGTATAAAATGATTTAACTGCTATTAAACAACTGATGTATAAAGTTGGCTTTAGTTAATGTTTGCCTGCTCTGCCCTTGAATTTAAGAAACTCGCAAACTGCCTTGGCCACCTTCCCTGTGGATGCCACGCCATTTTCACAGGCATCATCCTTTGCCGAGGCAGTGTTCTTAATTTTAATCCTGCGTTCCGAGTCGGGGAGTTGTCAGGCGAGGGTTTCCTGCCGGAGCGGAGCTCTGATTTGGGCACCTGGGAAGCGCAGGACGCAGCGCCGGAAGCTACGCCGCGTCCAGCTGGGCGACACTGTTGCGTGCTCTGTGGGCTGACGCAGGCGCACCTTTGTCATTTCCGTTGGAGGCTCCCATTGGCTCTGCTGCGGCTCGTCCCTCCCTCCGGAAGTGCGGACATTGTCAGCTCCGCTTCCGCGGTCGCGGGTAAGTGTGTCTGGACTGCCGGCTTGCGGTGGGCTTGAGGGGCTGCTCCGCAGGCCCAGGCGCTCGCAGAACCCTAGCCAGTGCGCAGCCTCCTGCCTCCCGCCCTCCTCGGCGCTCTGTCCCGCCGGCTCCTGCAGTGCCCGCCTTCGCTCTCACGGTACCTTCCTTCCGCAGGGGGGCCGACCCGCCATCCCCGGCCCTGCGCCTCTGTCTGCATTCCTTGTTTACCACCCTTGTCCTCGGTGCTTGCATTGGCCTCTCCGATACTTTATATTGGTTTTGTTCTTTTCCGTGAGCAAGTATTGTTGGTTTCACATCCCTTATATGACCTTCACCGTTAGGCCTCTTTTCTCTTCTCTTTTCAATCATTGTCTTTGACTTAATCTGTCTCCCTTCCACCCACCCTGCCCCGCCCTCCCGTCTCCAGCAAGATGACATGCTTAACTGGATGAATTGAAGGAAGGTGGCTTTCTCTATTATGCCTGCCCTGTTTCAGATGGAGCCTCAGACTTTTCCTGTCTCCTCTATTGTTTGGACTTAAGTCGAGAGAAAGAAGATTCCTGCAACAGCTTTAATCCGTTTTACTTGCTTGGTTGGCTTGGAGAGAATAATTAAAATGATAATACCTCCTAGCCACCTTCTAGACTTTTCTGACCCACTTTCCACATGTGTGAAGTAAAATATCTTACCGAGGAATTATTATGAAGATTAAAAGATAAGATACAAGTAGGCTTAATTCTGAAGAGAACTAAAAAGTCACTTAAATGCCATAATTATGGCCTAAGTGATGAGTAGTATTTGTTCTTGAGAGTTTATTTACACCATACTGTGTGAGCTTGCTTAAAACACAACTATAGGAGTAAAAATGAATCTTTATGATGGAGGGCCTGTCAGTCACTAAGCTAGTACTGGTAGCATTGCCAGTTGTTTTGAAGGGGTTTGGTTGGTTTGAAACTTTTGGTAAAAGGGAATAATATGACTATGTGGTTTTGGAAGAGGAAAAGCCAAGAACATTGAGGAAAACAAGAACTGGAAATAATGGTCTTAGCCAGCCCTAATTACCGGTTACCTCTGTGAGAACTTTGGACAGGTTACAACTTTTGGATTTATTTATTTATTATCTTGAGACGGGGTCTGTTTGGCCCAGGCTGGAGCACAGTGGGCTGTCATAGTTCACAACAGGCTTGACTTTCCTGGGCCCAGGCGGTTCTCTCCTTTCTCAGCTCCCCAAGTAGCTGGGACTACAGGCATGTGCCACCACACTTGCAAATCATTAAAAAAAAAAAAAAAATAGGCCAAGTTTCGGTAATCCCAGCACTTTGGGAGGACAAGGCAGAAGGGTCACTTGAGTTCAGGACTGAGCAACACAGTGAGACCTCATCTCTACTGAAAATTTAAAAATTAGTCGTGTGTGGTAGCATGGGGCTTTGGTTCTAGCTACTCAGGAGGCTGAGGTATAGGGATAGCTTGAGTCTAGGAGGTCGAGGCTGCAGTGAACTCTGAACACAAGTGGCATGTTTGAGCCACTGACTTTAGCCTGAGCAGCAGAGCAAGACCTTGTCTCAAAAAAAAAAAAAAAAAATCACTGTTGCCCAGGCAATTTTTTTTTTTTTTTTTGAGGTGGAGTTTTGCTCATCGTGCAGGCTGGTGTGCAATGGCATGATCTCGTCTCACAGCAATCTCCGCCTCCCAGGTTCAAGTGATTCTCCTGCCTCAGCCTCCCAAGTAGCTGGGATTACAGGTGCACGCCACCACACCCAGCTCATTATTTTTAGTAGAGGTGGGGTTTCACCATGTCGGCCACGCTGGTCTCAAACTCCTGACTTCAGGTGATCCACCTGCCTCATTCTCCCAAGTGCTGGGATTACAGGCGTGAGCCACTGCTCCCGGCCTCAATTTACATTTTTGTTTATAGCTCTTGCTTGTAATTCATTTCAAAGACATATTCAGATTGGATTGTCTATACCTCTGTTCACCTGTATTGTGAATAATTTTAAAATGTCTTAGCATAGTCATGGTGCTGACTCATTTGCCAGCAGATCCTACTTAATTTACAATATTTTGAAAAATACTTAGCTCATTTTTAGTAGAGACGGGGCCAGGCTGGTCTTGAACTCCTGACCTCAAGTGATCTGCCTACCTCGGCCTCCCAAAGTGCTGGGATTACAGACATGAGCCACCCCTCTCGGCCTTAAAATAAGATTTTCTTTTTTTTGAGATGGAATCTCACTTTGTGTCAGACTGCAGTGCAGTGGTGCGATCTCGGCTCACTGCAACGGGGTTTCACCATGTTCGTCAGGATGGTCTCGATCTTCTGACCCCATGATCCACCTGCCTCAGCCTCCCAAAGTGCTGGAATTACAGGTGTGAGCCACAGCGCCTGGACAAGAATTCTTAACATGCTAACTTATCAGCATTATGCACTGTTTGAAAGCTTCTTTCTTTTGTACTTTTTAAGGCCCTCCATCCTATTCTAGATGATTAAAAAGTCTTGTAAATTTAAGAGATCTTTTGTTTTTTTTTT